ATGAATTCGGGTATTTGTTCCTTTGTTATAGCAACTTGTTTGGCAGGGAATCGCCATTTTTGTGTACTAGCTATCTTTCTAGTTCTTAGTTTGCTGACTAGTGACAAGTATATCGTCTTAGTTTTGTTTATGTCACAAAATTTTGCATAGACTTCGGATCCCGAAGAAGAAACCAGTTTTCCAAATCTTCTAAAATACATTCTCATTATTCGCAGGACCAAAAAGCTTTCGAAACAGCTCTTTATGAGTATAACGCGCGTGTGAAGAAATCCATAACTAAGTGTATCACCTAAAAGCGGCTTTCAGCTGAAGAAGTGCACACCATTTATCATCTCGAGATCAACAACGATTGCCTTAAGTCATGTTCGAAGCATGATTATTAAATAGATTGACATCTAGATCAAAGTGTAGATCTCTTAGCCATAATCTTTATTTTGATTTGCCGCCTTAGCTTTTTTGCATCGGCAAAAAGGCGGTGTCGCGAATTCACCGTTTTCTAGACATATTCATTTTTCAAGTCTACAGCCTCTTTCAAGCCTCAAGGTACAATTTAGTGATTCTAACAAATATATGACAATGATCTTCGTTTTAAAAGAATATGAAAAAGCAAAAAAAATGCATGGCTTTACGGTAAACGGTTTTGACTTTTCATCGTAGCATGAAAACCTAACTGCTAATACCTTTAGACAGAGTGGTGCGAAATTTAACTACATAGTAAAACTCTTATATGATCCGTTCTTATTAGCTTTACAAGTATTGCTTAAACTACCCCATTTGTGAATCTCCGCTGTCCTTTAAAGTACTAGGACAATCATTTTTATTGCTTAAAAAGGCCACATTTTTAGCAGCTTCTCATATATATAAAACTTACGTATCTTTGCCAGCAGTTCACGGGTCGCCGGGAGCAGCGACAGCGAAAATTTTGGTCCACTCTGTAAGCCTTTTGTCCTAAAATTTCATTAGCAGAAAATAGGAAACTAATAAACAAAAAAACAGCATTATCCTCTTAATTATTTGGTAATGTATTGTCCGCGCATATATTCATAGCTGTCGACCTAGATTAGTCCATTCAGTGTTCACTTTGTTTATATGATCATATCAGCGGTAAATGATATCGAAGGGCGATTGCTAAAATTTATTAAATCTACGGAGCCGTTGGCAACATTAGTTTGTCTCATATTCTAGATCGGCACCCATCTAAGCCATCCACTTCGCGAATAATAGTGAACATCTCTTTCTGTAGTAAGTGATACGGTTGTGCTAAGAACTCTGGCATATAACGGTATGTTATGATAAAATTAAAGTGTTATGTATAGAATTCGAACAAAGTTCATGTCCATCTCGATATGTCAAAATAAATTGTACTACGCCAATTACGAAAAATTTTTGAAGCATCGGATTATAACGAACACAAACATTTTGGAGCAGACGTGTATCGCACTTCGCCATGTTATGACTACGAAAGTGTTCTTATTCTAGAAACAGAACACGCTATGCCGTTTATGAAACGGTTGTTTGAAAAGGAGGTTTGTTTTTACGCTGTATCCATTGCAAAGATTTTAGGCTTGCAGCTTTATGCCTTCGCTTAGTTTCGGCTTCTGGGTACCATCTGATTGATACTGGTGGTTCTTTTGGGCGACTTCTAATACAGGCCTAGATTAGGACAAAACCTTTATCTTATTTCGGCAATATTTTATATACAGACCACAACTTACTGTAAATACAAATCGATTCTAATCACTTCTGTTCTACTAATATATTGTTGCTGGAAACTGTCAGGGATGGAAGAACTTTTTAAAACGCAAAAGCGACCCCTAATAATGTTCAGTTTTCGAATGTTCTATTAGACGTGACCTAGTGTGCTTGTATTGCTATATGTATTATTATAAGGTCACTTAAGTCATAGACGGTAGTTTATCATCGATTCCAGACAAGCAGATAGGTAGCCTTGAAGCTAATCAATTTTTCATTGAAAGAAAGACAACTTAATTTTTGCATCCTTTTCTGTTAGCTAAAAACTGACAGATTAGCTCAAAGGTGTCAATATTATGCACCTGATAAAAGGGTTGCTAGAAACCATCTTCTTATCACCCCACCCAGGCACTATCTTGGCGTCACTGCAGATACAGCTTTTACAAGAAATGTTATAATCATCTCCGACGTATATTTATTCAGTATTAGAAGAATACATAAAAACTAAATTTAGAAGATTCTTATCCAGTCGGGCGTCTTCGGTAAACAAGCGGTCTTACAGAATATTCGGTAAGAAGTGTACAGGTAGCAAGTCACTTCTTTGTTCTTGTATTGTAATTATTTGATTGTTCGTGATACTTCCAACCTTTTTTCTGAAAACCACATTTGCCGACTGATCTCAGGGATAGGTGGGATGGTCCAGGTGAGAGAGCATCTGTTTGGGGCTGGCTGCCTCAGGCAATGTTTAACTGAACGTAGAACTCAAACATTCATACATGAAAGCTGAAGTGTTCAATTTTTAGGAGTAGCAGCCTTAAGATCCCAGATCCGCCAGTTAAAAGAGTAAAAATTCAAGCGGAAAAGTGGTAAAACTTAGTGAAGGAGCTGAAAAAAATCTATATATACTCGTTATCTATTAAACTGTAATGTCAGCTGAAATGAAGTTTTAGAAAGTGGAAATTTTGCATGCTTCTTTTGTGATTCACGTAAGAATTTACTAAAGAAATTTTTTTTGCCAGGTGCCTCGACAAGTGCAAAGGCATCCGAAAAATATTATGCCATTGTCGAACACCTATAAGACCTGACCAGTAGCATTCAGAAACCGAAAGAATAGATACAAACACACATTTGTTTTTCAACGAAGAAGAATAAAAACGACTGATATCTACACAACCATCCAATTTATGTTGGGACAGACTATTTAGATGAGACCGCCTTATGGAGATCCGTGGTTGTTCAAGCCAATAATGTTTCCTGTACACACTCTTGTTTATTGTATGACGCCGACAGCTATTTTTAATAGTCCAAAAAAACACCCCAAAAACACTATGATTTGACTGAATTCACCTTTTCATCAGAGATGACTAACCGACATTTAATTGATTACAACGAGACATTATTATAATTGAATCATATGAGAATCATCTATCTCTTAATCACTCGTTTGTCGTTCATTTTCTGTTCACTGCTATACGTAGTGCCATCTACACCATCTTTGAATCTGTCGACGTCATTTGAACGGCCTTCACCTAGCCTCGGCCGATCCTACTCGACTTCTTCGGCAGGCGCAACTCAAATTTGGTTATCAAGCTCATCGGCATCCAAATATTCGGTGTTTTTAAACGGGATCGATACTTCCGCTTCTAGTAGGCCATCTGCAAGTGCAAAAAGACCGCTATCGGCCATTAGTTTAAGACATAACCGTCTAACGCGATATGATACACAGTGAGACACATAAGAGTCAATGAAAACGCTCTGAAGAATGTTGGTGATCAATCTTCATTCTTGGATCATCCGGGCAATTTGTCTCTTAGGAGGGCTGCGATACTCTTGGACTTCCTTTGCAAACGGTTGTATTTGTAATTTTGTGATGACTTGCGACGAACTCCCACACCTTACAAAGTCAACCGCTGAAATACTGTCGAAATGACAATTGTGGGTGAAGGACAACAAAAGCCGCGGACTCTTCGGGAAAAGTACCATGGCCAGAGTAAGCATACGATTCCGGTTCTGGTTGGAACGAAAGGCGTAATTTAACCCGGGATCAAGTCCCACTAAGCACCCCACCAGCGTCAGCATGAGACGAACCTTAAGCTTAAAGTGTTCTCTGATGGTTAACATCATCCCCTTCGTTCATATCCAGTCCATATGAGTGAATCGTTACACTAATTGTTCCTTAACAAACCTCTATATACTAACTATATAATTAGCTTAATTGTGCTGTACTAATGGTTTAGAAAATCAGTGATATAATGACTATATCACATGGGCATACTTCTACTCTGACGAGATGGATTTTAGTGAGTGTATCGAGACAAAGCGTGTTATTATGGTAAATAGGATTATACATGTACCGCCCTTCTTCAGCCAATGGAAGATGTTAGTTAACAGGTATAATAAACCGATAAACTTTAGGTGCTGCTAAGTACTTCTACAAGTAGATGTTTTACATTGACTTCAGCCCCATGTCCCCCTAGGTATTTAGCTATAACATAGGTTTGCGGTTTTGCCATTGTTAGCGTATGACAAATACTAGAAAAAATGAGCAGTACCGTTATGTTGAAGGCTGATTATTTCAGCACGGAATAATAATGTATAGCTGGACGGCGTAACCTAGACTATTAGAAAAATCTGTGTTACCGCTCCCGATGCTTTGAATCGTTTGCAACGTACTTTGCAGCAGCATAACTTGGTAATCAGGAAAGTTGGCTAAGAAGACGAACTGAGTAGACCTTTATTATTATTACAATGATGTAACGGACCACTTTGAAAAACTGGGCAGCTATTATTTGTCTGCTGCGACAATGGCGATCGTATCGTCAAGCGCTCGCAGGTCACAATACGCAACCGTGTTTATGACTAATTGAAAATTCGTATTCGTCTACAGAGACAACCATAAACCGCCAGCCGTTAAATCTAGACATTTCAGGTTTTACTTATTCCGGTCATATCGATCTTGATGTATTAGCTGCGAATATGTATGTACTCATACATCCAATTATCACTAGAACAATAGTATCTCCGTCGTGCGGCATTTGGGTGTTCTTTGAAAGTAAAATCATTCATCCCCTGCTTTGGATTGCCTACCAGCGTGATGCCCGACTATTATCACTGACATCCTAACAGCAATCATCTTATTTAGAGATATTTACAAACCGCGCCTGTATACAAAGTGTGTTTTCAGCCTGTGCTGCTTGTCGGAACTACTTTCCGATACAGCTGCGACGACGTAATATGGTGTTGAATTAACTGTCAAAAGTACGTGTTTGTGTTCGCTTTTTTCCGGTAAATTTTCCTTTGTTCTCCAGGGGTTACTCGCCGCCGTGGCCAAGATGACGTAGACTGGAAGCCGTTTCCCATGGTTCCCGAGAGAGAAGTAAAGAGACATAAGAGAATAGTAGCTGGAGAATCTTCAATTACTACACGGGCAGCCGCCAAAGCCTCGAGAGATTGTCGGAAATAGAAACGTAATTGGACGACACCCTTGGACGGAACAGTAAATCTTCGTAAGCAGGCACCTGTACAATGTAAAGTAGTGTGAGAAAGAGCTGGTTCAACGAAACAGAATCGGATCCGACGAGAAGGTGGACAGCCGCTGTGAATATAAAGTGGATAAGCAATGTGGATTACCTTACATGACCATGATAGGTATATTTTTTTCTGAGAAGCTTTCAGACGACCTGAGGCTACATATGACAGTAGTTTGGGAGGTAACAGAATCATATTTCGGACAGTGAACTTTTTTCAGAACGCTCTGTGATTAAAAAACAGACTTAAATCTTCAATAAAACTACTTCATGAAATACATTCATTACTGCCTTTCTCTGTCGTTATACCCGCTAAAGCAAAGCATACTTGGTGCAACAGATTTATGAAATTTTTTTCCTTAAGTGCTTTTTACAGTGAGTGTATTTGCAAGTGAGGGTATATGCACGAGCAAATATGACATCCGTCCGAATGTTATTTTAGTTTAGACGACTGCAACCAATACATTATATCATTGGACTATTCAACAATTTTAAGGACGCAATAGTATATTTATCATCAGTTTACCTGATTTCTGATGAATACCTGACAGCTGGTGTGATATGGAAGGAGCGAGATTAAACGTTTCCTCTTTTTACGGGAAATTTACTCAAGCTTGTCTATCCCGAGATACTTTTAAAGGGATCGTCATCGTCTGAATTATTAATGCAACGTCAGTAGAAATAGAAGGATTTCTAAGATGTCAAACGTAACAACTTTGTCTAAGTTTTGAGGTAATAACTTATTCGAATATCGCATGCAGTTTGTTGATTCGCTCGTTAAAGATTCGTTCATTGTTTTATCCGGCAATGCCATAAACAAAATTTGAGACCTATACATATTTTTGTGTTAATAATACGGCTGTATGTGTTGTGCACTAAGGTAACTAACGTGATGCGGCTGCACGCCGTTGAACTGGGAGCAGTGGTAGCGTGTTATGCAGTACTTAGTATGAAGTCGTTCGAGAGATGGTGTTGCACGGCGATTTTAATGAGAGTAATGCTACAACGCTCACTGATTCTGGAGTGCCATAGCGGCCCACAAAGTGCATGCGAAACATACTGAGGTGAAGCGTCGAAAACCGATGGCTCATTCATCGAGCAAAAGAAGTTCGTCAAAGCTCGACGCATCTTTGCATTACGATATAGACTAATACAGAATTCAGTCTGACAAAAAAGCAGACTGCGTTTGCTGCACCACTGATAGAAAGGCAGGAAAGAAGAAAATACAAGATATGTACAAATACATATTTTAATGCGATTTAATCGACGGAGGAGTATTTTGCGATTTTAATGATCTGATATATATATATATATACATACGGTAGCTATAGTACACGTACGACATAAGTGCCTCTATAGAATTTCGTTTGTACTGAACATGTATACATGTGAATTCATATTAAAGAAATGGAATGAGTCTATTGAATTGTAATGTGAGGATAAAAAAAACAACGTATGAAGAGTATATCTACAAAAACGCGTATTGTTATTTATTTGTATAATAGGACGCAAGCTTCTTTATATGTAATTTTTATGCGCAAAATTTTTCATTAGATGAGCAAAGTCGCATAGATCAAACGATTGTATTATTAGGACGGCGAAAATTTTCACTGAATAAAGTTTGAGAACCTATCCGCCATCCAAACACAAGTATATTCACAAAGTTCATCGTTTTAGGGTAAAACGAGCATCGAAGAAGCCGAAGATATATTATTTTTTATATAGATAAGCATATATATGTATATGTATGCATACGGAAGCTTAGAGGATAAATCTTTGTAAGTAATCCTTTGTTTAGCGTAGTATTGGGTATATATATGTACTATCAAAACTAAACTTTTCGAACTTAGTCACAACAAAAAAATATTTAAAGTGTGCCTACTGTTCCAATTCAGTAAGATACATTTATTTTTATTTCGATTCCGGTAATCATGTTTTCCAGAAATGAATGATGCATAATATAATTTAGCAAGTATATATTTCACAAGCTTGTTCGTTTAAAATAGGATGTCTAGATTATTCGTTTGATTAGGATTGAAGTTGTCGACATTTGACTTAACACAATAATTTCCTGGCCTTGCAAGCGTCCCTGCCAGTACGTTATTTTACGGTGGTTAAAATTCCTTGACACTGGGCCAATGGACTGCTGATGTTAGACACAAATATTGTAAAAAAAATCTCAAATTGAGATTTAATCTACTAAAGGGGCAAGTTAAAAATATCAATTATCAAACTTTTTAACCAAGATACAACGTTAGTTTCACATTGAAGAAGCACCGAATAACGTCCTTTTTGATTTTCATTTACAGAATAATCACCACTAAATGTTTGCAAATTGCTCTAGGCGTGTTGCCTATTTTGACAATGGATTAAGTCAATGGGAAGTAGCCTGTACGAGAGAGGTCCAGCAGGCGATAACTGCTACGAAAGTAGTGATTTAGAAACCAAACAATCTCTGAATAATCTGTTTTTGATTGTGCGACTTAGTTCTTTATTACTTGATTATCCCGTTAAGTTTAAAGCAAATGTAAAGGATTCAAGATGCAACGCACGTAGCACTACGTGATAACTTAGACTGTGACCCCTATTTGCGTACTAACAACTACAGCATGGTCCACGGTTCAGTTTACCATTTAATTTTGAATTCACGAAAATTAAGCGTGTGGGTGCGTAAATCGTGAATTTAATTAAAACTAGTGCTAACCTCTATCTGCTGTTGTATTAGTTAGGAACACTGGTGACACTTTCGCCCGTCATTTAGTAATACATCAATTTTTTTCAAGAAGGTTTGGCATCGTAAACATGGTCCTCCTCTATTCGAAGCCAATGTATTTCTTGGGCATATATTCCATCTAGCGGCTCTCGCTGAACGCTCAGCTGACCTGATACGGGTAACCTGTAAATCCCAACCAGTAGCTGCAATGTGCTAATTAAACCATGTTATCTCTAGTTAATTGTGTAACGTGCGATGTTGCATTTTAAATTATTTCTTCATAGAGTTGTTTCGTGATTTTTCTTGCTCCAGACGTGGATTGTAATATAGTCTTGGGCATTAGGTGACCAGTAGCACCGAATCGTAAACCGCTATTCGAAGCCGGTATAGTCGTGACGTAGTACACAATATCTAAGGAATAATATCAAGCGAAGTGCTCCTTAACTATTGCATAGTTTTGCTGGAACAGTTGTTCTATTTTATAGCAGTCATGTTAGAGACATTGCTGCAAAAATGTACTTTCGGTGCCGGGGCATCATTTATTTTTCATCTTTTCGTACAGCTCCAGTGACATCCAGTAAATGATAGTGGCGGCTAAAGGGTTAATGAAGACATGTTTAATGCCTAAAGATTCCCAGGTAGCAACTGCGCCAGGTTTAGCGACTACAATACAGATATAAATTATTGGATTAACCACAGAACGTCTGGTAAAACGTTATGTCGAAAACAATAATATTTTTTTAGATCGAATGTAAGAAACCAAACGAGTAGCTAAATGGAGTGGTCGTAGATAGCGCGTTCGGGATTTTAAGATAACGAAGTTTATAGGGTAGCATAAGGACAACGCTGGACACCAGCAACGACAGGAGATGGTCATCTACGGGTCGATTCTTATTGAAGTCTGAATATATATTTGTGTTTTGATTTGTTCGCCTATAATAACTTACGTTGTGTACTTCTTTCGACCCAAACTTTTTTCTGTTTACTTGCATTTTTTTTTAGAAAAATTGTTAAGAAATGGAAAACTAAGGGAAAAAAAGGAAAAACAATGAGTGGCTTCAACAGAAGAAAGGAATAACTGCAAAATTTGGGTTAGTAAGGTTTCAGACTGGCACTGCGTGTGAGGTGAGGGCCTAATTCAACTTAAACAGACTGAGCCTTCGTATTGCTGTAAAAGTAACTTGTTTGCCTACTGAACTTGAGAACCTTTCGTCTAATGCTGGCGGGTAGGCTTTTAAAGCAACGTTTAACGGCAGTCCTGAATATAAAACTTCAAGCATTTAGAAAGAGCAGATTATTCGAGTTTATATTGGCAATTTCGAAATAACGGTCAGTGATTTTATGTTTGTAGAACACGTACAGTGCAGTCGTAGACTAATTACAAAAAGGAAAAATAAATGGGGTTATTGGAAAGTAATAGTTTGATAGGCTACTGACTAGCTGCGACGAAATGATTTTACAATAAATAATTGTGAAGGTTTTGATAAGCCGGCGTTCACCATCATGGCAACCAATCAACAATAAAGAGATAAAAAAAAGTATGAACTTGCTATCAAACTGAGCTTTACGTCCGATGAAGTATAGCACAGGCCAAATTAAATCATTAAAACAGGCCCATGACACGACTGCAGCAAAGCAGCTGCATTGGGTTAACATTTTTATAGTGGAAGGAATGTAATCGATGCAATAGGAAAACTGTATAATAAAGTATAACTTGTGTTGAATATGGTAACGTATAACTAGAATATGAAATAGTTAACTGGATGTAACGCCAATCATATTTGTTAGTTCAAGCAGGCTAATCAACTGTCCACAGAAAAGCTGCGTGATTCTTCGAACACGTCAATGGAAAATGTGGTAGCTATAAACGGTGAAGTACGCTAACTGCAATATAGATATCTGTTATATGGACCTGTGTTGTAATTTTTGGAAATAGACAGATCAGATGAATCTGTCATCGAAAACACGGGTCAGTGTGGTATCCTACTGAAACCCTATAGAATGCGTATGTTAGTTTGTACTCTCGTAATAACTACGTATAATGGAGGCGTGTTTCCATTCATCTATTTTTTTTTGTAAAATAATACGTTTCATCGTTCTGATAATAGATTGATCTTTTTTGTAAGGGTTGTTTCTTTTTCTTCTTTCAGACGGTAAATGTAACTTTGAAAAATTAAAAAAAAATTGACTTGTTTGACCAATATATAATGTCACACGTTATTCAAAGGTATTTGTTACAATGGGGGTATGTATGCATGAAACGATAATGCTATTTTTTCATATTGCTTCATTATTGATTAGCAATAATCTAAAATGTATATTGTAAAAGGTAAGTGATTTATGATTTAACATTAGAAAATCATTAGAATTTGGATAAGATGGACCTTAACCATCTACATCACTAGTTATTGAATTAAGTTATTAGAATAACGGACCACTAACGTAAGGTAATCAGTTCCTTGAATTAGGAAAACTATAGGGTTAACTATAACGGGATGTATAGAGAGTGTAACAGTAATTAATTTCGTTAATATTTAAAAAACAGCGGAATATCTGAAGCGAGGGAGTATATTTTTTAAATATTTTAGCAGAAAAATTAAATAATTGATAAGTAGATAGAAGTAATTACAACAGGAGAGCTGTTGCTGTAAATCCAAGCTATCGTTCAACTGACGCTAAGTTGTGCCCGTTAAATAAACGACAAAAGAGGCTCGGTGCGAAGTACGCAAGTTATTCCGCGTATTATAATGATATTATTAGCTAACTACAAACTTACAGTCAGCATTCCGTTGCGTCATTGCGGAGATAGTACTTAGCGCCAGAAGGCTGCAAGCATTTAGAAAATATTGGTGACAAGTATTCATAGAACTGTGCTTCTTGCAGGATCCCGGTTCCTTTGCCATTGCAGAACCATTGACTTAGACAGTTATTACTGATCTGAGAAAACTAGGGTAAGTTTGTTGCAGACATCCACATATCGCATTGATCGAGTCGAGAAAGCTTGGGCTTTTTTAGAATACTAATATGCACGTGGACCGAAATGATCAACAAGTCATGGTGCACTAATTTTATATGTACTTTTCGTGAATTTAACTATGACATCCGTGTGTTTCTCAATGAACGGTAAGTGATTTACTCTGCTGCGGTGTTCTAGTCAGTTCGACACAGATGCCATACAAATAGGCGCCGATGTTTTTTTTGATGATGTTTTTTTTTGGGGGCTCGCTATTGACTCCTGGGCTTCAGTTCGTTTTGAAATACTGATATAGGCCCTTGAAGGGGCAAAGCAATGTAGATAAGTCGTCTTAAACGTAAAAAGTCATGTGATTGCCTTCATTAAAAGTCGAAACCATTATCGGTGCTATATCTATCGGAGAACAAGGCTAAATAAATGTTTCAAGTTTTACATAATGAGTGTTACAAATAGTGAGGCTGTAGTGGCAGGAAGTGGCTTACTCACGCTGACAATGCTTGTTGCCTTCGCTAAGAAAAAGCGGCCTGTATTCAGAACTGTCTCAAGTTAAGTTGAGGTGGTCGATCTAATTGGATGTCCCTGGCCTACATCTAATTTTCGTTGCGAGAATTGAAGACTAAATGTGCGATAATAAACATGCGAGGGTCGATACTGTGGTAGCCACAGTTGATTCGCTATAGTAATATAACTCTCTATAGTGAATCTTAACTTGACTAATTTCAATAACTTACCTTCGGGCTGCGAGAAGGTAAAAAATAAGATTATCTGCCTTACGATCGAACAATTTATTCTTACTTCTGTGTGGATACTAGATTTAATTTAAGCCAACTTATATAGCTAATAGTGAAAGTACAGTTTCGGAGCGAGAAGCCATTATACAAGTCAAACAATAAAGGCCATTAATTCGTGTGTGACGTGACTAAACTCATAAGCAGGTAGCTTCAGAACCTCATTCGTACGTATAGTCT